CCAGCCTTTCCAAGAAGGGGGTGTGATTTTTGGGTGCTTCCATTTGGGGGATCCCAATTTTAAGATACCTCAGAGCTGATTCTCTCGAGGATGCCATGAACTCACAGCTCCCCATCGCCTCCCCTGGAGCTGCACGCGGCAGAGCGTCCATGGAAACCAGGTCCAAAGCACCCGGCTAGCCCTGCTGAAAGCCTCACTCCCAGACAGCGTCCCATCTGCAGGACAGCACGTACACAGGTGCATTTAAGTCCCCTTGACTCCATCAGCTCTGTGAGACGTTAAAGACATGTCCAGATGCCGCCCTGCATTTGCCTCGGTGTTTTCTTTAATCGGGGGCTTTCTGTAAATCCACGCAAAAGCCGCCCCCTGATTTCAATAGGATCACATCCCGCAAAAGCCACCCCCGATTTCAACAGGATCGCATCCCCAAAGATCCCATTCGGCACTTGAAAAGTTCATCCTTCAATTTTTTTTTAATTAACAATGAGCAGACATAACATTTTGGTCCTATTTTATAATAAGGTTTCATTTAGCAATGGTTGGTACGACTCAAGAAACAATTAAGTGGTGTGTGTAATAAACATGGATAGTATGTCTTAGAGAGGGTTATAAACACATCAGGAGAAGGTGCTATAGAAATATCTGAAGTAGCCTATTAACTCACTAGACTTTAAAACACCTCATTACAATTGATTAACCCATTTATTAAAACATCTATAGAAATGGAACCTTAAAATGAATTATGGGCAACATTTTTTTCCTTTTCATGAGGATCATTCCGACCCTGTCGGTAGCTTTCATGGCAATCAAGACATGTTTGTATTCCCCCCCCCCTCCCCCCCCAACACACAATCCCCTTCCTCAGTTAAGTTCTGAAACCCTAAATGTATCAAACAGATCCTCAATATTAATATTAATATTATTTATTATAATAAAGAACAGTCAAGCAGCGTGAAAAAAATAGATCTTAGCTACATTACCTTAAATTGCCAAAAATATACACATTTTTCTCTTTTATTTAATAATAAAAAAGGACACATGCAACATACTAAATGTGACATTAGCATTAAAATGGGTAAAGAACCGTGTACCCCAGTGCAACCAAAAACACAGATAATCTTTAGCTTTATATCTTTTCTCTCCTCTTTCTTTTTTTTCACGCAGACCCAAAGTTTAATGTCAACCTTCTAAAAGTGGCCTTTTGACTCATCCTAATCTCTTGACAGGACTAATCAAGGAGCTTATTTGAAAGGGACCAGGTGCTCTTGGAAGAGAACAGAAATCTTTTCTTTAAGTGCTATCTGTCTCTTCCTTTCTCCTATTATACTCAACCTTTTCCACGTCTGATCTACAAAGCTACGAGGCTTGGTACGCCAACACAAAAACAGATGTGTCAAAGACACACGGGGTAGGTAGGAATTCACCAAACCAGACCCTGAATGGAACCAACACTAAAGGAGATGCTGGCTGGGAAAAAGACTCCATGGATTCACTTTCATTTGTCCTGGAGAATGAATTCATTGCATCGTGACTAGAACCGAGGGTATGTCTACACTACAGAGTTTTGTCAGAAAAACGGCCATTTTTCCGACAAAACTTGAGGAATGTTCACACTGCAATTGCGTTCTTCCTCAAGAAAATCAAAAGAACAGAAGGGTTTTTCTGGCATTGGTTATCCTCATTCTATGAGGAAGAAGCCTTTTTGCAAAAGAGCTATTTCGCAAAAAGGCGTGTATGGACGGGGAAGAGGGAGTTCTTTCGGAAGAAGAGGGAAAAGCACAGGTGCCCTGGTGGCTACGCCATCCATAGCAATCACAGCTTATATGCGAGATAGCGTCCATTCAGTCTGGATGCTCTCTTTCGAAAAAGCAGATTGCTTTTTTGATGCACTTCTGCAGTGTGGACGCTCTCTTTCAGAAGAAGTGTTTTCGGAAGCATGTTCATGCAAATGCCGCGGGGGATATTTAAATCCCCCGCGGCATTTGCAATTCCGAAGTGTCTCATTAGCATCTCTTTTCCGGAAAAGGGGGCCAATGTAGACACAGCCAGCCTGATTGGAATGAAATAGGGGGGAGGGAGATAAATGCTCCCCCCCACACTGTGTTAATGGTGGTTGTTACCTAACAGGGGTAGGTGCCAACCCAGTTGTGGAATTCTACAGTAAAGGACTGGACAAACCCAGGACAGCAGCTAGGAGGGTACTTCGGGGCTGGTTTTCAGCACAGCCTCTGAGATTGTAATTCTGCATGTGCAGTTTTTCACGGGCAGGATCCTGCCGCAAGCCCCCTTGAACTGCGTCCGCACACGCCAGATCAGCGCAGACCAGCTGATGTGCAGGCGGAAAAGGATCGCCGAGGGGATGGCTTGCAGGATGCAGCCCCCCTGGTGGCAGGGGAAAGGGGGAAAAATTACACACGAAAAAGTGCAGGCACAGAATCGTGCAACGCAGGGGACGGGTCAAACAAAGAATACTCAAACTCAGGGGAGTCTACAATGGAATTCCAGTGTTCCAATTTGGAAAGTGTAGCAGGCCGATGGACGTTTTCCAGTCTCTCCTACCTGCGTCCATGCTGCAGAGACCGTAGGGAAGGGAGCAAATCTGCTTTTTATTTTCCGTTTTCACTTTTCTAGCTGCCGTCTCCATCTTCCCAGGAGCTTCTTGAGGTTGTTAAACAACAGCTTTCAAACCAGGAGTTTTTGGAAACAGAGAGCATTGTTCTGCCCAATTCCCCGGACAGAAACCAAGGGGAGGGGGGCGCGTTCTTTGCTTTTAGTTCTGCTCAACCACTGGGGCATCAATGTCTAAAATGAAACCAAAGAACAAACGGGAAACGGGTTTCGTGGACGGGGTCGGACGGGGAGGAGTTTTTCCCCTGGCATCAGCACAGCCCCACCGCTGACAAATTTGAATAGTGCAAACCAGACGAGGCGGTGGGACTGTGCTGAAAACAACTTGTCTCCGGGAAGGTCTGCGAACATTTCGAAGACCCTCCGCGTTTTCCGTCGTGGGAGTCTTGCCAGACCCACACACGCCCTACCTCCACGAGATGTCGATTTGAGCGGGACGGGGGGATTCAAACGTTTGACGCCGATTCCCCCTCCTGCAACTCCCCCGCCTGACCTTCCAAAAACCCTGCCTTGTCCAGCCTTGGAGGAACTAAGTTTCTTTGTCACAGACCCGGCTCTCAAGGTGGAGTTAAAACTAGACAGCACGAAGCAGCGAGGTGGCAGATGTCCTGGGCTGGGAAGACTGGTTCCTGCGCCACCTCATGCCAGCGACACGGGAAAACGTTCTCTGCCGTTTGCATCCGGGGCATGGGGAAGGAAACAGAAGTACCAGATTTTTGGGCCCCGGTGCACCTGCCTCCTCTGAGCCCTGAGAGAAGACAGCCTGGTTTGAACACCCCGCCCTGCAGTGGGGCAGGCAGGAAGCAAGCCAGCGGCGAGCCCTTTCCAAGTGGGAATGCCGGGCCTGTAGATCTTGGGAGGAGAGAACAAGAGACAGGCCGAGAGGAAGGAGTTTGCGTCTCACGTGCAAGAGACAACACCCCGCGGACCAACTGGCGTCTTCCCTGCAGCTGGCACGGAGGTCCCCGTAGTGTCTTTAAGGGCAGAGTTACCCCCCAGCAGCTGGGGTAAGAAGGTGGCAATCACCCGTAATGCCAGTCCCCTTCCATTGCTCTGCCACTCACGTCTTCCCGCGGTGGGTGTAGGTCCGGTGGGGCGGCCATGTGTGGTGGTTACTGAGGGAAGAACCTCTCCGTGAGGTCTCCTACGGTGACAGGCTGCAGGGAAGTCCCAGTGGTAGGTCGGAGGGAGGGTTTTCACAGCTCATATCCTCTTCATCTCCCCATCGGAGGGAACAGACCCCCCCGCCCCGACTGCGCCCTGCCCGTGCCCCACTGTCTTAGCGGAGTCAGATCTGGCAGCCCCAGGAGGGCACGACAAGCTCTCCGAGGGCCGTGCCGAAAATGAGAGACGACCCGTCCACCTCGGCCCTGGCCGAGGATGCTTTAGGGTCTTGGTTTAGGGCCCCGTCCAAGAGGCCGCACACACGCACACTCACATGCACACACCGGCGTGGGCAGAGCACCGGGGACGTCTCTCCCTCCGCTGAGCAGGGAGACGGTTCACTTCACGTCGTGCAAATGCGCCAAGGAGCCAACCAGCGGGAATCTCCCCCTGCCCCACCGCTCCTCGTAGAAGGGCAGCCGATGCCAGGCCTTGGCCAGAGAGACGTTGTCTTCTAAAGCACCCCCCCGACACTTCCCGCGGCCGGGAAGCCCTTCTCAGAAGCCTTGTGCTCATTGCGCTAAAGTTTCCAGTCCCGCGCGCGTGGGAAGCCACGTTCCTGTAGCAGCGAGGAGCTGGCCGCTGCCCTGCTGGGGAAGCTTAGCCCTTGTCCTGGTTGAGAGCAGCCCCCTTTTCACTCATGCTCTTTAAAAAAAAAGAGACAGAGGAGAGAGTCGTCAGCACGGAGCAGCCAGGCAGCCCCGCCCAGGAGCAGCCCCGAGGAAGCCTGGCCATGCAGGGGGACGCAGCCGGCTTCTCCCAACGGGGACACAGCAGAGACCCTTGCGCTAACGACCTCCCTGGGCCTGGCTCACCAGGCTCCTTGATGCTGGCATGGGCTCTGCCAGGCTGCGCCTTCTCGGCCTGTCTCCAGGACAACAGGACGGGGCCTTGTCCTAGCAGATCCCATCCCTGGACTCTCAGGTCTGGGGGCCTGACTCTGGCAACAGGCAATGCCAGGCTGCTTTCTGTGTGCCCCCGACTGTGTGTGTGTGTGTGTAACAGGCAATGCCAGACTGCTTTCTGTGTGCCCCCGACTGTGTGTGTGTGTGTGTAACAGGCAATGCCAGACTGCTTTCTGTGTGCCCCCGACTGTGTGTGTGTGTGTGTAACAGGCAATGCCAGACTGCTTTCTGTGTGCCCCCGACTGTGTGTGTGTGTGTGTAACAGGCAATGCCAGACTGCTTTCTGTGTGCCCCCGACTGTGTGTGTGTGTGTGTAACAGGCAATGCCAGACTGCTTTCTGTGTGCCCCCGACTGTGTGTGTGTGTGTGTAACAGGCAATGCCAGACTGCTTTCTGTGTGCCCCCGACTGTGTGTGTGTGTGTGTAACAGGCAATGCCAGACTGCTTTCTGTGTGCCCCCGACTGTGTGTGTGTGTGTGTAACAGGCAATGCCAGACTGCTTTCTGTGTGCCCCCGACTGTGTGTGTGTGTGTGTAACAGGCAATGCCAGACTGCTTTCTGTGTGCCCCCGACTGTGTGTGTGTGTGTGTAACAGGCAATGCCAGACTGCTTTCTGTGTGCCCCCGACTGTGTGTGTGTGTGTGTAACAGGCAATGCCAGACTGCTTTCTGTGTGCCCCCGACTGTGTGTGTGTGTGTGTAACAGGCAATGCCAGACTGCTTTCTGTGTGCCCCCGACTGTGTGTGTGTGTGTGTAACAGGCAATGCCAGACTGCTTTCTGTGTGCCCCCGGTTGTGTGTGTGTGTGTGTGTGATAACAGGCAATGCTGAGCTGCATTCTCTGTGCCCCTGACTCTGTGTGTGTGTGACAACAGGCAATGCTGGGCTGCTTTCTCTGTGCCCCGACTCTGTGTGTGTGTGTGTGTGTCTCTGACAACAGATAATGCTGGGCTGCTTTCTCTGTGCCCCGACTCTGTGTGTGTGTGTGTGTGTCTCTGACAACAGATAATGCTGGGCTGCTTTCTCTGTGCCCCGACTCTGTGTGTGTGTGTGTGTGGGTGTGTGTGTGGGTGAGACAACAGGCAATGCCAGGCTGTTTTCTCTGTGTCCCGACTCTGTGTGTGTGTGACAACAGGCAATGCTGGGCTGCTTTCTCTGTGCCCCGACTCTGTGTGTGTGTGTGTGTGTGTGTGTGTGTGTGTGTCTCTGACAACAGATAATGCTGGGCTGCTTTCTCTGTGCCCGACTCTTGTGTGTGTGTGTGTGTGACAACAGGCAATGCCTTGGATTGTACCATGGGAAGCCACCAAGGTCAGCACCTGAGAACAATGGTGGATTAGGTATTGGGCCAACAGGGCCTGGCTAATGGGGGGAATCTGGAAAAACGGGTGCCCCCGTGCCCTGACCTGCTGTACGCACCCAGGGATCCTGCAGCTCTGGTAGGAGCACCGTGTGGGTGGACAGAGCCGGGCAAGCCCCTGAATCTATTTCCCTGGCAGGAGCACGGGTGGGAAGGGAGGGCAGGCGGAAGAGATGCGGAAGCCCCCCCCCACATTCTCTGGTCCAGGGCCTCAAAAATCATCATCTGCCTCTGCCTGAGAAGGGGTGTTGCCCCAACGAGGTGTCATGAGCGATGGACAAGATCCTGCCTCAGTTTCCCCTATTGAGACTGCAAACTTGCTGGGACAGAGCCCGCCTCTTAGTGTGCGCCACGCTCTAACGATTTACACACCGTTCCTTTCTGGGCACTGCCGTCTGCCTGGAGGGTGAGGAAGGGGTTGGCTTGTGCAGAAAGGACCGGCGGGACCCCTGCCCCCGCAGCCATCAGGTTGTTCCCGGGAGCACTCAGGGGCGAGGCTGTCGGGGTCCCCATCAGGCTGTTGCTGGGGTTCAGCTGCTGGGGGGAGATAGATGCCAGGAGGGAGCTGCCGCTGGGCGGGGGTGGGGCGGCGGAGGTCATCAGGGCGGTGGCACTCGAGTGGAGGAGGGGCGCGGAGGTGGCCGTCAGGAGATTGGTCATGGGCAGCTGGGAGGTGCCCGTCATCTGAAGCCGCTGCAGCTCCCTCTTCTGCTGGATTTGCTGCATCATCTGGAACACCAAGGCCTGCTGTTCCTGGAGCGGGGGACAGAGAGAGAGGCTGGGTCAGGAGAAAGCTTGTGCGCATGATCACCTTTTCGAAAATGATCCATTTTCCTAGTGTAGATGTGGAGCTGCGGCGAGGTCAGGCTGGGCAGCCTTCCTGACCCTTTTAGTCATCACCAGACACCCGGGAGCATGAGAGTGGACCACTCCTACTTTAGAATCCCTGCAAACACACTGGCCTACCAATGTATCCTGCCCCTTTTCAACCTCTCTGCACTATTTAATGCCCGGATGTCCATCAGCTTGTGGAATTCATTGTTACAAATTCTTACTGACTCAGTTCCTTTCCCTTCCTCCAAACTTCCCTTCCGACATTTGGCCTGTCTACATGCCAAATGTTGGAAAAACCTCCTCTTTCAGAAGAGCCCTTATTCCTCATAAAATGAGGAACACAGGGCTTCTGAAACGGACACGTTCCCTGGACGTAGCGGAGTTTTTCCGGGATAGCCCCGGTAGTGTAGACATAGGCTCAGTGCGCCAAATCCTGGGAGGATGGAAGGGACCCTATTCACCTGGAGCTGGTAGAGATGGGCTCCAATCAAATTAGACCACTTTCGCTTCCATGGAAACCACTGACCAATAGAATACCCCAGTGTGGCTAACTCCTAGCAATGGAACTATGTTGACTTACATCAATTGGGAATCTGGCCCATGATATTTTACATCCCTCCCCCGCCCCGCCCGGAGCCTGATTGTTCCACCGTCTTAACCTGGGATTAACTCCACTGAAGTTTCATGAGCGTAAACAAAGTAGGGAAAAGATCCATGATTTCCAGCACACAAGGTGTGTTTGCTGTTTATACACGCGCCCCTGACAAGGGGACACACACCAGCTGAGAACAAAGCACCAGTAGGGAAGCCGTGCAGTTCACGTTCCTCGGGGTGCCAAATCGATGCAAAGCAAGTGAGACAAGACAGCAGGATAAGCAGTCTCTCCCCTCTCCTAAACAAGCCCAGGTCTCATTTAACCTGGGTAGGTCAGGGCTATTCCCTAGTGAAGTCAGAGGAATTCAACTGTTTAATTGGGAGGTGAATTAAAAAAGGGATAGAGAATAAGACAGAGAATATCTTACTGCCTCTATATAAAACCATGGTACGCCCACATCTCGAATACTGCACACAGATGTGGTTGCCTCATCTCAAAAAAGATCTCTTGGCACTGGAGAAGGTTCAGAGAAGGGCAACTAAAATGATGAGGGGTTTGGAACGGGTCCCAGATGAGGAGAGATTAAAAAGACTTAGACTTTTCATCTTAGGAAAGAGGAGACTAAGGGGGGATAGGCTAGAGGTCTATAAAATCACGACTGGTGTGGAAAAAGTGAATAAGGAAAAGTTATTTACTTGTTCCCACAATATAAGAACAAGGGGTCACCCAATGAAATGAATAGGCAGCAGGTTTAAAACAAACCAAAGGAAGTTTTTCTTCACTCAGTGCACAACCTGTGGAACTCCTCGCCAGAGGATGTGGTGAAGGCCAGGACTTTAACAGGGTTCAAAAAAGAGCTAGATAGATTCATGGAGGTTAGGTCCATCAATGGCTGTTAGCCAGGATGGGTAGGAATGGTGTCCCTCGCCTCTGTTTCCTTGGAGGTGGGTGACAGGGGAGGGATCACGTGAGGATTGCCTGTTGTGTTCCCTCCCTCTGGGACACCTGGCGTTGGCCACTGTCGGCAGACAGGACACTGGGCTACATGGACCTTTGGTCTGACCCAGTCTGGACATTTTCTTATGTGCTTATGAATCTGGCCCTTGTTAGTCTTTTCCTGCTTCATAGGCTTTCCCAGCTGGGCGTGGAAATCGCCCTGGTTCTGCCCCGCGACCAAATGCCACGTCTGCGTGGGCTGCCTTGCTTTCTCATTCAGTCTCCTTGTCCCGCTAACTGCTCGGCAGAGGGCTCCCTGGGACCAGGGCAGCACACAGAGGGTCCTTCTCCACTGCGATCCGAGCCGGGGCCGCCACAGCACCAGACACCCCCAAGATAGCTGGACCCAAGTGTCGGTCTCTGCCAGCTGGCATGGACCAGCCAGGGAAGTACCTATCCTGGTTCCGGTGAGCTTCCCCAGCACACGGAGACCCACACGGCCCCGTTTACACTGCTGTTCTCGACCGTGCGTGGGTGGGTGTGCGCCTGCCCGAGCGGCCATCGGACTCCGAACGCAGGGCCAGCATTGGCTAACCGGCTGCAGTTACTGAACTTGGCGGGACTTTGGGTGTGGCTGGGAATCAGATTAACCCAGGTGCCTTGGCAGCTAATCGCTTGGGTGGCCACCCAGGAGAGATTGCCGTGCCGCCCAGCTGACTAGCAGAGCACCCACAGCGCCCACTGCCAGCAGTATGTTGCTACTGGTGGTGCACATCCGCGCATGCTGCAGGGCGTTTATTCTGCACATAGATGGAAAAATATTAGAGGGTCTATGCCGCTTTGATCCCAGGTTAAGGATGCACAGTCATAAGCCCAATGGGGAATTGTGGCAACTTGTACTCGCAGACCAGGCCTGAGCAAACACGGCGAGAGGCCTCGGTCTAAATCTTCCCCATCCAAACGTCAGGCCATGCCCTTACCGGAGGGGGCAGGACCCCGGGACATGGACGCTTACCTGGTTTAGCTGCTGCAGCTGCTGCTGCTGGTGTTCATGTTGCTGCAAGACATGCCGCTGCTGCTCCGTCAGGGGGCTCAGGCCTGGCACGCTGCAGGGAAGATGGCATGTGAGTGTTGCCTGCTGCCTGCCACTCCTGGTGGGGCATGTCTGCACCCCGTTCCCAGCCCCGAGCAGAGCTACGAGCCAGGCTCCTGAACGAGCGCACACTGATGCAGCTGCTGCTGCTGGTGTTCATGTTGCTGCAAGACATGCCGCTGCTGCTCCGTCAGGGGGCTCAGGCCTGGCACGCTGCAGGGAAGATGGCATGTGAGTGTTGCCTGCTGCCTGCCACTCCTGGTGGGGCATGTCTGCACCCCGTTCCCAGCCCCGAGCAGAGCTACGAGCCAGGCTCCTGAACGAGCGCACACTGATGAAATTCCCTTACGGGTCACTCTAAGCTGCCTGCCTGAGGTTCAGTGGGCAGGACACTGCCTTGGGAGGCACCGGTGCCAGCTCTGTCACCGACCCCTTGTGTGGCCTTGGGCAAGTCACTTTGCTGCTCGGTGCCTCAGTTTCCCCTCCCGCCCTCTGTCTGTTTCTATGGCAAGTTCTTCAGGGCAGGAACGGACGTGCACGAGGCACGCGCACGAGGGGGCCTGATGCAAGCCGAAACCGTCCCACGTGTGTTCGTTTGCACTGCCACACGGGGCTGGAGGCACATTCTATCCCGGGAGGCTGTCTGGGTTCCGAGAATCTTGCAGCCCACAGAGAGGGAGAAGGGGTCCTCCCGAGGCCCACTCACTAGCCTCACTTGCCCATCGCTGCTTTGGAGAGCTAATGATCCCACGGGGTGCGTGTGTGTGGTCCGGGATGGCCACGTTCCCTTTGCCACGGACACGCCTCGTGCTGGGATCTGTTTGTGGGCAGACGGAACTCGCCTGGGGTTCCGAGAATCTTGCAGCCCACAGAGAGGGAGAAGGGGTCCTCCCGAGGCCCACTCACTAGCCTCACTTGCCCATCGCTGCTTTGGAGAGCTAATGATCCCACGGGGTGCGTGTGTGTGGTCCGGGATGGCCACGTTCCCTTTGCCACGGACACGCCTCGTGCTGGGATCTGTTTGTGGGCAGACGGAACTCGCCTGGCTGCGGTGCAGGAGGGAGGAGGAGGCGACGGTGCGGGAGAGGACGGCGGT